ATTTGAAGGAACAAATATGGGGATTGCGAACAACCAATCCAATAAAGCTTGACCAAGCTGCTCTATTTGTCCTAATATCTTGATTGTTGTAGAAGCCAATCGGCAACTTCTCACCACGGCTAAGTCTGGCAACTGCCTTACACATGTTTATCCCTTGTACATTCTTTTGTCTAACTGCAAGGTCAATAGACAGAAAAATCAGCAACATTAACATTAGAAATAAGCAACAATAATTGAATGAGGAGAACCTTGGGATATGTCCCTGTACCCCGGATTTTGTCCACACGGTCTTGCAAATCCCTCTACCTCGGGATCTTGTTTCAGACCTCCTGATTTAGCATAAAGATAACTCTAGGATATATACTATAAAGTCAGGTTACCATTTGATTGTGCGTCTAAACATGCGGAAGGGAGTTTGGAAATATGAAGTTCCCTGGTTTGATATGTCATTTTGGAAGAGATTTTGGGGATTTCAGATTGCACCAAAGCTCATATTCGTTGTTTGGCAAGTGATGCATCGGATCCTTTCGACTGCCGAGGCGCTTCTAGAGAAAAGATGTGTCATTTCGGGTCACTACCTAGTGTGTTCGGAACATTCGGATTTCGAAGACAATGAAACATTTGTTTCTGGGCAGGATCCGACCTCTTGCCACTTCGACAGGGATTGCTGGAAATAAACTTTGCTTTGTTCTTCCGTCCTTTGGTAGAGCGGGATGATTCTCCAATGCGTATTAAGCTGCTTGTTTCTTTGAAATGGAGGATCTGGAAGTCCATAAATAGAGTTGTCTTCGAGTGTATCCAATATACTAATCTGGTGCTTCTGAGGCAGTACTCCCTCCAACTCCACGAATGGATGGGCTTGCTTCGTGCTGAGTCAGCTCCTGATTTACGACTTAATGTCATTAGAGGATTGAAGAAAAGTTTGGGGGATGAGGTTGTTTGTTTTGTGGATGGGGCGGTGAGAATGACATCGCATGTGTAACACCCTACCCTGTACGTATTACCTAATCATATTGTTCATGCATTTGCAACGGAAATAATCTCGGGTGTTACATTAATTACCAAAAATTACCCAAATAAAATTTTCGACATGAAATACTCGCGTAATGGGCTAACAGTTCTTGCAACTATACCTGCAAAACAATTTATACGAATCTATGCATTCATAGACATACATATATACTCACAACCATATACATTGGCTTTCATAGACATAGTCACAGTTTCCATACTCCACAACTGCCTACCATACTTATACATGCCAAAATCATCAAAACTTACACAATTACACAAATATACACATATCATCAACTTTCCACACCTGTGGATATCTCACTTTACACCAGAAGCTAGTATGCACATGAAAACGTTCTCAAAACATTTTTACAAAAAGGTGTGGATCACTGGAACTCAAGAATCGAGTTGTGAAAGTTTCCCAGAAGTTCGCTGTGCGCGGCTCTGATTGCTCTGTTTTCTCTCGGTCCAGGAAATGAGAAGAAAAGATGATGATGGGGAATTGTGGAAGGAAAGCGACCAGGGAATTATATATATGCTGCCGGGCCGCTTTTGTCTTCTTTTATATTAATTATATAATATATAAAATTAATACGTATACTTATCCGATCGATCGATAATCTGATTTTCGTCGAAATACTATCAAAACACTTGATTTTAAATCGTGAAATTTTCTAACAACCGTAATACGAGTTTAGCCGAAATGGGATGTTACTATTCTCCCTTCCTTAAAAAGATTTCGTCCTCGAAATCTAACCTTGAGTTGTACCTTTAGTTCGCTTACTTATCCTTAATATGATCGATCGTACATAAAGCCATTACCTAACTCTTAGGCTAGGAGCTCTGAAGTACATAAGTAAACACATAACACCACCAGTTCCCAATATAAGGTTTCAAAAACCTATACTGGGTTATCACAACATAAGCACATCAACAAGTTCAAAAGCATAATTCTCTAAACCAAGTTATTAACCTGCAAGGTAGGTTGCCACTAACACAAGGTTATATCAACCTACAAAATGGTTACTAGAACAACATCAAGATTCATATCTCTGTTCAAATATCTACCATCACAACTCATCACGTTGGCACAACCTAAACCCAACTGCATTGCATAGCTAGCCACCATGCTTCTCAATCGGTTAGTAGTGACACATAAAACTACTTCTGTGCGAGCTACAAGGAAACATTGGCCTTAGGTTGATCCACACACCATTAAAAATTTCTGCCAAAATCATTACTTGGACAACAAGATAAAAACTCCATAAAATCTTCAAACCTTTTAAACCATAACTTTTTCAAGATTCTTTCCAATGCTCAAAATCATGTTTGACCATATGCAATTGACTATGCAACACATCATCACCTTTGGTCCCAAATCCAGGCAAGTTTAGTGCAAATACAGGTATGAAGTACTCCCTCCCCTTTTGAGGGTGATCAGTCTTCAAGAGTGAGAGTAACATACCCAACATGCAGAAAACAAACCAGCTCTGATACCAAACTGTAACACCCTACCCTGTTTACCTAATCATATTGTTCATTCATTTGCAGCGGAAATAATCTCGGGTGTTACATTAATTACCAAAATTTACCCAAATAAAATTTTCGACATGAAATACTCGTGTAATGGGCTAACAGTTCTTACAACTAGACCTGGAAAACAATTTATACGAATCTATGCATTCATAAACATACATATATACTCACAACCATATATATTGGCTTTCATAGACATAGTCACAGTTTTCATACTCCACAACTGCCTACCATACTTATACATGCCAAAATCATCAAAACTTACACAATTACACAAATATACACATATCATCAACTTTCCACACCTGTGGATATCTCACTCTACATCAGAAGCTAGTATGCACATGAAAAACTAGGGTTGGCTATTTGGTCCCGGACTGTTTGATTTTATCCAAAACCGGACCGTATAACCCGGACCGGGACCAGACTGGGACCGGATAGCAAACAATGCAATCTCATATTAGGGCTTAGATTTGAGGTAAAAAACCCGGATAAAGACCGGATAAGAGACCCCCAACACCTAAAATCAAGATAAAATTGGGACCGGACCGGATCAAGACCGGACTGGATCAAGATCGGACTGTATCCAATCCAATCTTTGGTCCTTATATTCCCGAAAAAACCGGACTGGGACCGAATCAATTTGGTCCAATTTAACCGGACCGGACCGTATAGCTACCCCTATGAAAAACGTTCTCAAAACATTTTTACAAAAATGTGTGGATCACTGGAACTCAAGAATCGAGTTGTGAAAGTTTCCCAGAAGTTCCCTGTGCGCGGCTCTGGTTGCTCTGTTTTCTCTCAGTCCAGGAAATGAGAAGAAAAGATGACGATGGGGAATTGTGGAAGGAAAGTGACCGGGGAATTATATATATGCGGCCCGGCCACTTTCCTTATCGGTTCGGTTATCGGTTAAAACCGATAATCGACTAACCGTTTATCACCCCTAGTCATCGGTAAAATTCACGTCGGTACAGTGATGGGCACTATGCAAGAGATTATAGGTTGGAAGTAGAAATTTAGTGATATGTCAATCCGATTTATAGGTAGACAGAACAAGCGGATGACTCATTTGGAGGCTAAAAAGCTCCTTTTTTTTGCACTATGAGTATTTCATGTTTTGATTTCCATTCGTGGGCGATTTCGGCCCTGTAAATACTTTATCTTTCATCTTGGTAATGCAAGTGATCTATTGACAAAAAAATGGTGCCAAAATTTCAAGATGGAAGACTAAAAATGTCCCAGTTTTTGTCACACATCGTAATTAATCATCGTAGACGTTTTTATATATAATATGTAAATTCATTTTAAGAAAATCATATTGTTGATTATTAATTAAACTTTGCAATAATAAATTGTTAATAATTCGATTTGGTTCTATTTAGAAGAAGTTCGGTTGGATCAGTTCGAGTTTCTTGAATCGGATGCCCATTCCTACTAGGGGTGGGCAAACGGTTCGGTAAACCCGAACCGAACCGAAACCGAATTAATGCTATTCGGTTCGGAATTCGGAAGGAAACTATGGATAGTTCGGAAATCGGGGTTCTTTCAACCGAACCGAATTTCCGACCAAAAAACCAAAATACTATAATTGCAAGCTCCAAATGGTGGATTTTTATGTTTGTAGTTGTTTTTAGAATTAAAATATTTGAAATGTTTTATGACTTATGTGTTGAAAAGTTTGATTTTATCATTGATGATGCATATAATTGATATTTATTGTTTATATTAGGGATGAAAAATAATTTAAAAGTGAGAAAATACAAGTAGCTTCACAAATTCGGTTTTGTGGAAAAACCGAACCGAATTATAATTCGGTTCGAATTCGGTTTGAGAAAATTCGGGGACCCGGTATTCATAATTTCGAAACCGAACCGACCGAATGCCCACCCCTATAATTCCTATTGTTCATGATAGAAGCTAAGTCTATAAAATGAAATAGTTATATGGTGACAAAAAAAAAATTATAAGAAATCAACCCTCTGATTAGCCATTGTCTTTATATATAATTTTTAATATAGATTATTAAAAAGAAGATTAATTATTATATTTTCGGCTCTTTCTGGAATAACTATATCAAAAAGAAAACCAGGGGTAAGTATCATTACGAGGTACATATGTTCCCTAATCTAGCAAAACAGACTTTAGCAACGGACTAATTTCTGATCTTGGATTCCTAAAGTGGGCCCACTACTCCCACAGTCCCACTTTGTGACTACACTGTGTACAACAAAAAAGCAACAAAACCCAGACAAATAAACAAAAAAGGTGCTTACTACCGGCCCGTTAGAAAAGGCAGCCCAAATAATTGTTATATCATATAAAAAAAAACACATTCTTTAATCTTTATGGTAAAAAAAAATGAAAAAACAAATTGTCAAAAAAATGAAAATCCCTCCCAAGAAATTCAAAAAGCCAAAATCAACCGGCCGAGTCCAACTCGGAACTCATCACAACCAATCAATCGACCCGCCACCGTTGGTCGAACCGCTCCTCGCCGCCTCCACACGACCCAGCTCGATTGAACCAGTCCTCGCCGCCGCTGGCATCCAGTTCCCTAATCTCACCGCCGTAGCCGCCGGCACTAACCTCTTCATCTCGTCCTTCTCCATCACCGCTTCCGAAATCTCCTTCACAGTCTCCGCCACCGCCTCCCACAGAGCATCGTTCCTCTTCCCGATAACAAACAGCAAGCTCAGCCTCTCTCGGCAACCCTCCAATCTCCTCAACTCACCCACCAGCCGAGTCAACTCGCCGAAGCTCAAGCTCCGCAATTTTCTGTCCCGAAATTCCCCAACCCTAATTAGAATCTCCCGCTGGACCAACCTGTAGTCTTCCCCAACCGATTTCACCACCTCGTAAACCAAATCGTTCTTCTGCAATTGAAGCGAATTCGGAGCCTCGCACACCAATTGGGCGAAATCGACCAGAATTCCGACCTCGGTTATCAAATCCCCGTTCCCCTTCTCCAGAATCGCTTCCTCCTTCCCGCCGCCTCCGGCGGCGGCGGCGGAGAGGAATCGACCTAGGGTTCTCGAGACGGCGAGATTCTGCTCGATGACGGCGGCGTACCACCGCACCCACGACGAGAGCTCCCAGCTCTCCGGGTCGGACCCGTCGCGGAATTTCGACAAATTGAGCGAATTCCTCCCGCCGGAGGCAGGGTAGACGGAGAGCTGGTCTTTGAGTATGAAGGATCCCTTGGTCAACACGGCGTGGACGGTGAATAGGCACTTGATTGCGACGTAGGCGCTCTTGGTGGCGTGAAGGCGGTCCATGAGGGACTCGATGCAGGTGCCGGCGGTGCGGCGGGAGCCGTGGCCGCCGAGGGAGAGGACGCCGGAGATCGAGCGGTCGGAGGGAGGGGAGGCGGCGGCGTGGGAGGTGGCGCGGAGGATTGCGAGGCGGAGCTTGGGTTTGGCAGGGGAGATGAGGAAGGATTTGAGGATGGAGGACTTGTCTTTAAGGATTCCGACGAGGATTCTCAGCCGGCTGCGGTGGCGACCCATGGGAGGAGAGGAGAGAGTGTTCTGTTTGTTTGTTTGGGTTGTTCAGTTTAATTATGATGGAAGCGGGGCGGAAATCGGTTGATCGCCGGGGAAGGAAAGGGCGGTAGAGATATATAATGATTGAAGAGGGTGGAGATTATGATGATTAGTGGGGGAGCAGATTATGGGATTAAGATTAATCTGTTTAATTAAATTGTAATCGGTCAGATGTCAGTTAATACGAGTAATTTGATTGACATCAGCTTAATCCTTATTTTCTAAAGATGGACCCGACCCGGCGCTAGGAACACGCTTGCTTTACCGTTTCTTATTTGTGTTTAAATTTTCCTCTTTGATTTCTTAATCCGGGAAATTTCCTTTTTGCAAACTTAATTAATCCTTAGGACACAAGGAAACGGAAAGAAACGGTCAAAATCCAAAACCCTTTTTCTAACTTAACTCAGAGGCCCACTGCTTTCTCGAAAAGCCCAAGCTGATGAACAAGTGCCAGTGGGTTCGGAGATCCAATGATTGTCTTTGTTGTATTCGTCTTTCTGGCAATTATATTATATGAGCAGTCTGATTTGCAGACCTACGAGAATCGACATACATATGGAGGAGTCTAAATGTGCGCAAAACAGACCAAGTTATTTGAGAAAAAGTGATCATCCATGGCATTGGCATCCAAATTCTCGTGGTCTTATTCTAGGAAAACAAAATTCTCCTATAGGGAAAAATACATCTACATAGTTATAACTTTGCATTTTGTGACAATAATAGCCAATTTTTGAAAAATACAAGGATATAACCACATTTTTGAAACTCGTTTGATATATTTAGCCATTTTCGTAAGAAACATTAACAACGTTAGAGATGGCATTAACAACCGTCAATAGCAAGCTGAGGTGGCGCGCCTCCTCAACTACCACATCAACTCTCGATCACCATGTAATGCCACGTGTACGTAATATCAAATTAAACAATATTATTGATTTAAAATTCATTTCTAAAAAATAATTAGTAATTAGGCATAATGAAATTTAAAAAATCCTTACACCAAAATAAAAAACTAAAAAAAAAATCCAATTACAACCGACGGCAAGGCTTTGAGGATTTTTCCCTGAATTGGGATTTCTTCCACCGCCGCTTATCCCCTCCTTCAGCGAGAAATTCAGAGCATTTTCGGAGAGATCGATAGCCTTCCGGGGAGAGAAGCAGAAAGGAGAGCCGTCGATCCGGATTTCCAGCATTGTCTTCTTCTACCGATCTGGATTTCCAACGTCATCGTTGAAGACGATAACTATTTACACCAAAATACTTTCCCTCTTGAAATACTACTTGGGTGACCATCCAGTTAGGGGTGGCTATACGTTCCGGTCCGGTTAAATTGGTCCAAATTGATCCGGTCTCGGTCCGGTCTTTTCGGGAATATAAGGACCAAAGATTGGATACAGTCCGGTCTTGATCCGGTCCGGTCTTTACCTGGTCCGGTCCCAATTCGGTCTTGATTTTAGATTAAACTTGAGGGAATTTGAGTGGCCTAAGACCTCAAAGGGTGAGGAGTTGGTTAATCCCTATACAGGGGAGACTCCAGCCAAGGACAACAACAGGCAGAATGCTAACCCTAAGACCCAAACAAGCAAGTTTTGGGTGTTGGGCTCTCTTATCCGGTCTTTATTTGGTTTTCGATCCGGTCCCAAACGGTTTTTTACCTCAAATCTAAGCCCGAAGATTGGATTGGATTGTTTGCTATCTGTCCCATTCCGGTCCCAGTTCGGGTTATATGGTCCGGTCCCAGTCCGGATTATATGGTCTGGTTTCGGGTAAAACCAAAAAGCCCGAACCAAATAGCCAGGCCTATATCCAGTACTTGGTCACCATGTGTCCAATCCTAGGTTAACCATCCAGCCTCAAAGTGGATGGTGGCATCCCACATTATGGATACCATCCAACCTCTTAGTGGATGGTGCCCTCCCACATTATGGATACCATTCAACCTCTAAGTGGATGGTACCATCTAGGGGTGGTAACCGGTTAGCCAATTAATAGTTACCGGTTACTGAACTGGTAACTGGCGTTTATCGGTTATACCATTTACCGGCAGTATCGACATGCGGTAAGAGAAATTCAGCTATCCGTATACCGACTTATATCTGGTTAATAGCCGCCGATAAATCGGTATGCCGAATATATCAGATACTTCTTGCATTCTTTCATTTTCTCCGCTCTCCAGACGCAAACCCAGGTTATGGTTTGAGGACAAATCAATCATGGAAGAGAGGGAATTGAGCTATTTCAGCCTCGCCGTCTTCCTTCACAGGCCTCATAGCTCCTTCGCGAAATTACTTCTTCCCGCCACCACCGCCATCCAACAAACACAACGACATCAGAGTGTAATTCAGAACTCACTGATTGCAGGCTCCAAAAGGCAACCCAACACGTTGAAAACGTCTCTGCATCCACCCACAAGAAAATATAACTCAATGCAATCATTGGATAAAATCAATTATATTGGATTGAGTTTCTAAATAATTAGACTTTACATCAAATTTAACCAGTCTAGAGGGGCAGGGGGAGAGATAACCCACTCGGTGACCCAAGTGAGTAGGAAGGCGTGGGAGAAGCCATGGCGGAAAATTGTGGTGGCTGCAACCTGCACCCCTGTCTCGGCGATGACATGCACCATACCCAGGTAAGCAAACACGAACCATCCCATATAGATTGATTTTGTGTCCTGCTAGATTTCATCGGAATGGATGCGGAGAGAACATGGCTTCCCGCTTCCACCATACCCAGTAGAACAATGACGAGAGAGTCTCTTTTTCCCTTCTACTAGTAACCTTGATCTTGCAGCTTATTGTGATGCAGATTGAGATGGTTGTCAGTCCACTAGGCGATCTACTACTGGTTTTGTCATCACTCTTGGTGGCGATCCTATGTACTAGCGTACCAAGAAGCAACAGGTGGTTGCTCGTTCATCCGCTAAGGCTGAGTATCAGTCTATGGCCAACACCGTCAGTGAAGTCCTTTGATTAAGATGGCTTCTCTCAAAGCTACATGCACCCCAGCGTGGTTCCACGCCTCTGTATTGCGATAATCAGGCAGCTCTCCATATTGTAGCTAATCCAGTTTTTCATGAGCGCACCAAGCATGTGGAAATGGATTGCTATTTTGTTCGTGAGCGCGTACAGTCAGGGGATATTGCACCCATGAAAATTAGTTGGCAGAATCAACTTGCGGGCATGTTCACGAAAGATCTTGGAGCAGAGCGTTTCCAGTTTCTTCTGTCCAAACTGCATGTTCGTAATCTCCACATTGCAGCTTGCAGGGGAGTAATGGGTTTGACCCATCTACACAAGGCCCAAACCAACTCGTGTAATCCTTGTACGAGACCTACTGCGTCTCATGCTTGTGCTAGGATTTCTTGTCCCAATCGTAATGCCCTAGTTTCTTGTGATGAAGGGTATAAAATCCACTGTAGGCCACTGACCACCATTAAGAAAACATAATAAGATTTCAGCTGGAGAGCCAAGCTCTCCCGTGTACTAGTCCCGATCATCATGGAAACCACGTAAAATCCATGTCTTCTTCTCGTCGCTGTTTACGCTTTTGATATTTTACAATCCTTTCATCTATGGTCGACATTGCTACGTTGTTCATCAACTCGTTAAAGAATTTGAGAAGTAAAGGAAACTATAATGTTAGACGATTGCCGCCACCAACAAATCAAGCCCCCCCCCCCTCCAATTTCTCCTTCCCAATCATTCTCCATGTTATGGGACAATCCAAGTACCACATCGGTAATACAAGGGAAGAAAAGGAACCCTTGTATATTAGTGTCCACCAAGCTCATTAGTACGAGGCCTTTTGGGGAGGACACCCAAGAGTGAAATCATGAGGGCTTGGCCCAAAGCGGACAATATCGTACTAATTGAGCGGCCCGGTTTGACTAGTGGTATTAGAGCCAGGTTCGGTGCTGGGCGGTGGACGTAAGTTTGGTGGACCCTCGTTTGTCACAAATCGGGCTGCTCCATTAGTACGATATTGTCCACTTTGGGCCAAGCCCGCACGGTTTTACTCTTGGGTGTCCTCCCCAAAATGCCTCGTACTAATGAGCTTGGTGGATACTAATATACAAGGATTTCTTACCTTGAATTACCGATGTGATACTTGAATTGTCCCATAATACCCCACATGACGAATTTGCTCTTCTGTCTCCTCTATATCCTGAAGGGATAGCCTTCCCTATATCGGCTCTCCGACAACATTGGCCGCAGACATATAGCGACGAAACAAAATGGTTTTCTAATGGAGCCTGACGATTCTGCTTCCCTTTCATACGATGTCACCGCGCCTTGCATGCATCGCTACCAGGTGAAATTTGGGTTTACATCTCAATGTCATCTTCTTCCTCTGATCTCCTTTCATTTAGCAATATCATTACTCCATATCCTTCGATCATCAATTGCGAAATTCTAGATTTAAACACAAAGGAAATTGCAGGTTGTGCTAGAGTAGTACTGATTTGTTGTGACTAAGATGAAAGTCGAAGAAGAACTGGTCTGGGAATGTTTAGGGAGAGCGAGGGTGATGATGGGCTCTCCTATATTTTTTTCCCTGGACAGTCCCGAAGAAGAGGAAGAAGACGAGGTTTTTGGGGACTTTTTGTCCTTGTGTTTAATTTTCTGGAGAAAACAAAAAATAAGTAATCACTAATCAATGAAAAGATATTTGAAAGGGATCAAGGAAAAAACAAAAAATGTTGGATGAGGAAAGGAATTGCGAAGTATAAATAAATGCGATGCCATTCAGTTTTCTTTATTCCTAGGTGAATGGTTCGGTTGATGAGTCGTGGCCTGAGCCCTGCTGGTTTTGGGTTGGGTTTGAAGAAAAATAATCAAGCCACATAAATTTCCACGTGGACCAATTAAATATTGTCGCACTTTCAGTAGCGGCACTATAGTATTGGCATTTTTCTTAGCACAAAATTCTCAGGATAAAATTTAATAAAAGCAACAACA